GAATGCTGCCCATCTTTCCACTACATGTGCGACCGTTATTGGCTCTTGACAACCCTCACAACATGCTTAACCTCCAGACATCATCTTGAGATGGACACTGGTCACCCAGCTGCCAAGGCCATCTGTAATCTCTTGCAATTTGTATGTAGGTGTATGCCTCCATTTCTCCCTCCATTTGCCGTTAAGACAACTGGGTTTCAAGCCGGAGAGGAAAACGAACATCACAGGGCTGAGCGGCAGTTGCCTTGGCCGTCTGATCAGCTCGCTCATTCCCCTGGATACCAACATCCAATGGCACCTGACGCAGAGTTATCTTCTTATGTGCTGGCATCAGTGCAAGCCAGTCTTGATAAGTTTAAGTTCTTGATTGCTTGCAAAGCACTACGAGAGTCGCAATATATTACAACAAAATGGTTTGTAAGATATCTAGTCATCTTGACTGCTGCAAGGATGGCATGTAACTCTACAATGAAGATCGAGGCTGCCAAAGAAAGATTGCCAACTGCGGTCTACCTTCTGCTCACTGCTGCAAAGCCCACACCATTTTCGAACCATCTGTCTATATTGCATCTGATCCTTGGCACTTAGAAGTGTGTTGAAGAAATCTCTCTCTGATTCCTACTTCGGATCTCCCACCTTCTCTATTCTGACCAAATCCAGCTAGACTAGATTGGTCCAAGGGGAAAACTGGGGAGTTCCAACAATTGGAACCTCATAGAGATTCAAATTGAGATCTTCCACAAGATTCTTCATTCGGCTAACCTCAAGGGGGTTGAAAACCAATCTGAATGCAGATCCCGGAATCCCTTGTAGTCTCGTTTAGCAAATCAAGTTCATGTAGTCCCGGTTCTCCACTCTCAGTATACAGTGACTCCACGGGTGAAGACCTGGATGCCCCTGCACAGATTCTGAGAGCTTCACTATGAACTGAGGCCAACTTCATAATTCCTCTCTAGATGTAGATAGAAGAATATATATACTATGAACATAGCCACTAATATCCTTTAGTGGCAGGATTTATACTCTAGGCTGTGACCTATATCCAGTCCCATTTAATCATGGAATTGTTTTTGTAGGCAGAAGCTAGACAATATGAACACCAGTGATAACGAAATGACATACAATCTCAGCATTCAAATAAATATAATTTAAGTGTTATTTGAACAGAAAATACAAAAGCTCAAGGATGCCTTAGAATATACTCTAAAACGATTCAAGGTTTGTATCAAATAATCAAATTATTCCATGAAGTTGTTGAAAGTTTCTATTGGGCTTTATTTGTATTTTGCTTAACTGACTGAAATGGGCATTCTTAAGTTTTTGACTTTTCCGTTAAATAACACTTTAAATTATATTTGTTTGGATGTAGTCAATCTTTGTAGCTCATAGCTCTTAGAGCAGGTGCCTATATGATGGCTACTTTTGAACTCCTATTCTTTCTACATCATTTTCTGAGGTGTAGACTCCATACTACTGCTATATACTCTGGTCTAGGTATTATGGTGGCTGAAATGACTTCTTTGCCATAGCTTCGTCCACATACATGAATGCCCTCTTCATGGTGGCAATCAGCCATGGTATATAAGGACATTTCATTCATAAGATCATTTGGGCTAAAGTGTTTGTTTATCAGTATTCCTAGGTTTTATCTACCGTGTTTAATACTGCGTCTCCAAAATTGTACTGGTATGGGGGACGTTTTCCTCTCTCAGAACCTGACTACATGGCTTTTATTGGTGTTGACTTCCATTTTCAAAAACTCCACATGAATAATTTGTCAGTGTCCTTTTTTGTATTTTTTGTATATGTATTTATATGCATATTTACACACACACACACATACACACACACACACACACACACACACACACACACACACACACACACACACACACACATACACACACACATATACACACACACATATACATATATATACATATATATGTGTGTGTGTGTGTCTATGTAT